AGAACAGCTGATAAACAATAAGAACAGCTGATAAAACAGTAAGAACAGCTGATAAAACAGTAAGAACTGCTGATAAGAGAAATTGCATTTCCTGAGAAAATGCAGTATGAATGCTGATTGCAGAAGAGCTACCAGGTGCTGAAATTAGCTACAAACATGCTGAAATGTAGCTGAAATGAAAGAACAATCCTAAATTAGCAGAAGAAAGCATAAATAACACATATTTGCTAAATTAGATTTAAATAAGTAGAAATTAGCATAAAAATTAGGAAATCAACTAAAAAAAAGCAAAACTTAACAAAAAAATAAAAAAGTAGCTGAAAAGGCAGAAAGCAGCTTCAGCTATGAGAAGGGAGTGGAAAGTGCTGAAATGAGCTAAAATGTGAAATTAGCTGAAAAAGATATTCGCATAAAATGGCTAAATAGTAGCTTAAATAGCAGAAAAAGCTTAAACTAGCTGAAAAAGGCTAAAAGGAGCTTAACAAGCAGACATTAGCAGAAATAAGTTAATTATTTTGCAAAAATCACCATGAAAAACTTGAATTTATTTGAAAACAGCTGAAATTAGCTAAATAAAATCTGAAAATGTAGCTGAAAAGCTAGAGAAAGCTTAAATTGGCATAAGAAAGCAGAAAGAACACATTTGCCCAATAAGACTGAAAGAAGCAGAAATGAGTACAAAAAGTATAAATTATCTGAAAAAAACCCTGAAATTAGCAATAACAACAACAAAAAAAAACTGGTGAACAGTAGCTAACAAAAAGCAGAAAGAAGCTGAGATTACCAGAAGGAAGTGGAAATACCACGTTTTTGCTGAATTAGGCTGAAAAAAGTTTAAGTTAAAAAAATGTGGAATTAGTTGAAAAATCTTAAATTAGCATAAACACAGTTATAGGCCTAAGTAGCTGAAAACATAGAAAAAGCTTAAACTTGCAGAAATAAGCCGAAAGGAGCATAACAAGCTGAAATTAGTAGTAAACATTTAGAAGAAGCACAAAATGTTATAGTTAGCAGAACTAATCTGAAAGGAGCACAAAACAGCTAAAAACTGCTGATATTAGCTGAATGTAGCTGCAAAAAGTATGAATTTGCACAAGGAAGCTGAAAAAAGCAGAACAAAATGTGAAAGGAGCAGTAAAAGGTTATAAACAGATCTAAAGATTTGAAGGATGTAAAATGAGCTCAGTTCATTTTCTTTGAGAAAAAAGTGGCAGAAAAAGGCTAAAAAATTCAAAAACCTAAAGTTGCACCAATACCAAAAATCCTAGTAGGATTTTCCTGAAAGAGCTGAATGTTTTGATTTATGATTTGTTGAAATAACTTGAAAATTGTGGGACGAAAATCACGCCGAAATATGTATGGAAGACAAATGGATCACAATAGTGTGAATGCTTCATAAACATTTACACAATTAGGCCAATATTTGCAAGTAGTTGGAGATCCCTTTAAAAATCAGATGTGAAGGACCAAAACAATAGATTGAACGCCATCAGAAAATAGCTATGACACTATTGGAGCAAGTAGTGTCCAATTTTACACGTCTATTAATAACTATAAGACAGTTACTATATCAGGACAAGACAAACGTAGTCTTTTAGAGATGATCCAATGTTCTGTGAAGTTTTATTCATTTTACTTTGTAATTGGGTGGATAAAATATATTTTACTTTTGTATGTAATTTTCTTTCATTTAATATACCGTACTTGCTGCCGTACACATTGCTTTGCCGTATAAGTCGCATCTATTACGCATCAACGCAGACCACCCTGAAACGTGGACCGGTATTGTGCCAAAAATCGATTGGCTGCCAAATGGCGGCCGCGGGAGCGTGCACGGGAGGACTTTAACAAGAATTTAACAAGATTAACACTTAAAAATAATTCTTTGTTTGCTCGACATTATAGCAAAGGTGTGTCTCAGTTGAACTTTTATTATTGAAGACTGCTGAGTCTATGAACAGGGTAGGCAAGTATAAGCCTCGGCTTCAGCCTATTCCTTTTTTGGTAAATTATTGATTTGTCAAAAGTAGTCTATATTGTTTTCCTTTTTCTGTAATGGTAATTTACCAAAATAAAGTTGAGTTGAGTTTGACTTTTCCTTAATAAATGCACTTTAATGATCAAATCAGCTGCATTTCAAAACCCAATACACGAGCACGCAGAGGGAGGACTTGCTGTGCATTTCTTTGAAATTTAACAAGATAACCCCTAAAAACAATTATTTGTTTGCTCCACATTACAGGAAAGAGTCTCAGTTGAACTTTTCCTTAATGAATGTACTTTATTTGTCAAATCAGCTGCATTTCTCTTGGGTGGCACGGCAAAATGCAGCTGATTTGACGTTTGCTCTAGTAGTTCTGGAGTGAGACGAAGTTGGCTCTGTATGGCAAGCCAAGTGTCTCATTAATAGCCACTTTTACCTATTAATGAGACACTTGGCTTGCCATATGACTCGACTGCCCTCTAGTGGCTGAACATGGTAGTGTTCAATATTTTCCATGCCAATTAATGCAAAAAGGTGCGACTTATACAGTGAAAAATACAGTAGTCACATTTATTTGTGTTTGTCCTACAAAAGCAAAATCCTACAGCTACCTAGCAATTACATTTTCTAGCTGTCTTGTTAATAATCTGTTACAAGTACACAGTTTGTTCCACAGATGTCTTTGAAAATATATATGTTGATTGAACAAACTGCACGGAAGTACAGAAACTGGACAAATATATGTTATTAAAAATGAGATTTTAATTATACATACAAAGTATTAAAAGCAACATTTTGTTCTCTAATGGACTCAAACACACTTGGCTTTAGTGTGAAGACACAAAATATGTGACATTTTTTTGTCCTGCATCACCTCACAAATTTGTTCTTGGCTCTGTTTAAATTTAATTAAAAAAAAAATCCTGCCTCTTCACTAAAGTCGATGCGTTTCTTTCTCTACAGAGTCAGAAAAGATACAAACACAGCAGCGAGCATGAGGGCGCCTTATTTCCCAGCCAGATCTGTGCTTTTCCACAAGGAGCCAAACGGAGTTACGTACAGGGTCCCGGCACTGCTCTACTTGACCCGGTTCAGGACCTTCCTGGCCTTCTGCGAGGAGAGACTCAGCCCGTCTGACTCCCAGGCTCACCTGCTTGTCATGAGGAAAGGCACTTTCTACAAGAACTATGTGGAGGTTAGCGACCTTTGATTTGAGGATTTTACGAGCAAATGCAGGACTTCTTGTTGAAAAAAAAATCAGAGTTCAAATTAAATTAAAGTTCATGGCTCTAAATTAAAGTAACCTTGAAAAACAAGATTGAAAACAGTCACAGTTACTGCAGACAACCCGAGTATTTCCCATATTTTACTCTCTATGTTCTACATCTTTATGTCTGCAGTGGGAGGACATGCATGTTCTAGGCACAGCCTTCCTGGTGGGTCACAGGTCCATGAACCCGTGTCCCGTGTACGATGAGTTCACAGAGACACTCTTCCTGTTCTTTATCGCCGTCCTCGGCCACACCTCAGAGTCCTACCAGCTGGTGACGGGGAACAATGTGACCCGACTCTGCTACATCTCCAGTACTGATGGAGGTGACACCTGGAGTCCGGTCATCGACCTCACCAAGACGGTCATAGGAGATACCATTAAAGGTGAAGAGCCACCTTAAAATCAAAATTAAACCCAATAAATTCAAATATTAGAATCAGTCTTTTTAGGCGTCATTAGTTTTGTCGCGCTAATGACGATCTTGCATATTTAGATGTAGATGAGAGACTTTGAAAGACAGATCAGTGACTTCATCCTAGTGGTCTAACATATTGTTTCCTCCCTCCTGACAGAATGGGCCACATTTGCTCTTGGCCCGGGCCACGGCATTCAGCTGAAGTCGGGCCGCCTGCTGGTTCCTGCCTATGCCTATCACATTGAGTGCAAAGAGTGTTTCGGACAGCTCTGCCAGACCACCCCGCGCGCCTTCTGCTTCCACAGCGACACCCACGGGAGAAGCTGGCGTTTCGGTGAGGCCATACCAACTCCAGAGAGCGTGGAGTGTCAGATGGTGACGGTGGACGAGGAAGACGGCACCAACGTGTTGTACTGCAACGCTCGCAGCCCTCTGGGTCACAGGGTGCAGGCCATCAGTCTGGACGACGGAGCCGTGTTTCAGGAGGGGCAGCTGGTCCAACGTCTCGTGGAGTCTCGGAACGGGTGTCACGGCAGTGTTGTTGGATTTCCTGCTCCTTTACATCTCTGTCAAACTCTGCAGCATTCTGTTGGACGTTGCAGGCACTGGACGTCCATCATGGACTCTAGCAACACGGTAGCATGTAGCATTTCTGAGGCATCAACTTACCCTTCTCACGATGCCCCTCCAGACTTCCTGACCCCTACATGGGTGGTATACTCCCACCCAACGTGGGCCACGGCTCGTAAGGATCTGGGTGTGTTCCTCAGCCTGCTTCCCCGTGATCCAGACAGCTGGCGTGGCCCCTGGGTGATCTACGAGGGTCCCAGCGCTTACTCAGACCTGACCTACCTGGAGCTGTCGCCCTCACCCGGAGCACCCCCCGCCGTGGCCTTCGCTTGTCTCTTCGAGTGTGGTACCAAGTCAGCCTACGACGAAATCTGCTTTAGCATATTTACCCTCTATGAGCTGATCGATAATCTGCCTCAAAACGTGGAGCGGACAAGTGGGACGGGTCGCAGACAGGAGTCTCGAAGTTCACCGGCAGTCCAACGAGTACCTCGTGTGAAGAAGAGAAGAGAGACGCTGATGAAGATGTGCTCCGTCTGTTAAAGAGTTTTGAAGTTTGAAACAGAGTCAGGTTCACAGGCAGATCGCAGCAGCCAGGTTTATGTTTATTATATTTTCAGCTTCGGTAGGACTTTTTGTAAACTCAAAGTAAGAAAAGAAAAATAGCAAATACACTATCTGTAGAGTTTATCTTTTAATTTCAGCTACAGTGCTTTTGGTTTGCTGTTGCGCAACATATAAAACATGACTTACTTAAAAATATCTCTGAGTACTTGCACATATTGGCCTTAATATGTAATTTTTCTATTCTACTAAAAGTTGTTGTTTGTGACACATGAAAACGGCAAATTTCTTTAAAAAATAAAATAAAATTCACCCAAGGATATCTCCATTATTTTACCGGTGCAATGCATTCTGGGGCGAAGATTTGTAGTGGAGACTAAAACGCAAGAATTTGAAACCAAAAAGTTACAATATGTGACAATAGTTATGTTTCGTATTAGTTCTTATATATGAGTTGAAACGATCAATCAATTTGTGATGTTTAATTCATTAGTTCCAGTGCTAATGTCATATATTTTAGCTCTGAATCTTTGTTTTTCATTAAACCTTTATTTATACAGGTTAATCCTATTGAGCCATGAGGACACATTTACAAGAGACACCTGGATTTTAACTAAGAACGATGACAACAGTGGATAACAATGACAACAATAAACAATCACAAATGATGCAATCAAATTTAAGGATTTTTTTTAACAATTGAAAACAAAATGATAAAAGGAAATGTAGTGAAAAAACAGCTAATTATAATGCGGTGTAGAAAGCTAAAAACAGGAACATGGCTGCATTGTTTTTTACCAGGAACTTAACAGATGTTTAAAGCCTCTTAGAGAGGTCAAGGTCAAGAGCTTCAGATCTTTTTGCAAGATATTCTAGGAAACAGGAGCGGAGTAGGAGAAGGCCCTTTTGCCTAGTTCAGTCCTCATTGAGGGAACACTGCAGGTAATAATGTCCTGAGAGCGCACGCTGTAGCTGCACTCACGCAGAGACATGTAGGAGGAGATGTATGAAGGCAGCAGACCAAGAAGTGATTTAAAGATGAAAATGTACCAGTGGGAGAGTCTGCGTGAAGTTAATGATGTCCAGTTAACCAGTGAATACAGGGTGCAGTGGTGGGTACGATAATCACAGCCAGTTATGAATTTTAGTGCACCATGATAGGCAGCATCCAACATCTGCAGGGTTCTTGTAGGAGCGTTCATGTAAATAATGTCACCGTAATCAATGGAGAGAAGGAAGGTCGCAGCTACAAGGCGTTTCCTAGCATTCAGGGTTAGACAGGATCTGTTTCTGAAAAAGAAACCCAATTTAACTTCCAGTTTCTTTACTAGGTTTTCCAGGTAGAGCTTAAGACGGATGCGAGTCGACCAAGATACCCAAATATTTGTAGGAATCAACAAACTCAATAGGGACACCGTTTGAGGATGAAATCAGAGGAAGAACTGTTGGGATCAACTTCCTGTTTGAAAACAGCATCCCTTTGGTTTTGTTGGTGTTTAGGACCAGTTTGAGACGGAACAAATCTGACTGGATGATGTCAAAATGCCAAGATGGCCGCGCTCAGCCGAGCCACAGCTTCACAGGCTTCCAGTGAACTCAATCTTTTTTTTTGTTCCAGATGTTTTTGTTAAAAAAAAAAAATCTAGACTGAGGTAATAAACACCATTTGGCATTTGCAAGCTTGTCACAAAAATAGTTGTAGGGAACATGACCCTACGCCAGGGCTATTCAACGCGCGGCCCGGGGGCCAAATCAAGCCCACAGGTGAGCTCAGTACGGCCCACCAATGGATTCAATTTCAAATAAAACTAGATTTTAAACCATAAAAACAAACTTAATGACAATAGCTGCTGGATGTCCGACCCCTGAGCTCTTGGTTTTCAGTAACTGTGGCCCCCTGAGCAGTTCAGTTGAATAGTCCTGCTCTACGTCCACAAAGTTCTGACCAATTATACTAAAGTTGGCACATACCCAAGTGAGAAAAATTTCTGCTCGGACCTTGTGCACAGAACAGGTTCTCAGGGCTGATGAGAAAACATGTGATTTTCATCATGCAACCAGCAAGAACAGATTTCTTCACTTCTCACAAAGTATGACTCCAACTTAAATCTGGCATAAAAGGTGAAATCTGGTGAAATGCATTATTTTGAGTTAGGCCTTTAGTTTATTATGACAGAGTTCAAAGGTCATACAATTCCAGCAGTGGTTTCCAGTCCTTCCTCAATGAGATTTCCACAAAACGTCTTGAATGTTCTCACAATGTTCTGTAAATCGTAGTTGTTTTTATTGGCAAATTAGTGATTTTTTTTTTTTAATGATCAAGAAATGATTCATTTTTGCCTGAGAAAGCCATTTGTTGATGCTTCTTCTATACTCAATCTGGACACCCTCACCTGTATATTATGTATACTGGGTTATATATAACCTGGATATTATGGCACATACTGAACGGTTTAAACAAATGAGCAACTTACAAGGAATGTTGCCTCAGATGACATTTTAAAAACTCATTAGGACTACAGTATAATCAAATTCTAACAGATCTTCATACCTTAAGGTTTAACCAGGAGTGTTGTTTTTCTACCTGTTGTCTTATAATTGAAATGTTAATAAAATCTGACTTTTACACTTTGATATCCAAAAAAATCCCGTCAGAAAATGTTTAAGTTAAAGTTCTGCTCCTCCACATTTAATTAAACGCTGCATTGAAAGCAAACTGGCAATGACTCGCACTCTTAGATCGACTACAGCTGCAGCTTCAGTGGGATAATCACCCGTCAGATAATTTCTTCTGAGGGAGTCAAAAAATGAAGAGGCTGAGTATAAGCAGATAAAAGTGGAGCAGAGTGTTCAGTTAAAGAGAAAAAACAAAACAAACAGTGCTGGGAAGACGTCAGGATCTGGACAATCTGCATTCTCAGTTGCCTCTCCTCTCCGCTGCGTATCGCCACGGTGACAGGAGGGTCATTTCTTCACACAAGTCGTTTGTCCTCACGGATCTGGACATCACAGCTAACAAGAATGAGGAGCATCGTTATCCTGGCTGTGTTACTGGGAGTCGGAGGGAGCGCGGGACAGGTAGGAGTCCTCCTACAGCTCAAACTCATTTTCATTCATCTGCACTAAACAGTAGAGGTATCCTAATAGAAGGAATGTGAGGTTTTCATTTGCTGTCCCTCAAAATATGTAAATAATAAAAAAAAAAAAAAGGCAAAACAGGTTTTAGAAGGACATCTTTGTTACAAATATTACATCAAGACCATTCTGTGCATGGTACAAAATCCACAAGCTTGATCCAAAACACAAAGTTTGTTAAAAGGGTTAATTTTAGAACATGGGTTGAGGTGCGGTGTTAAAACTGTGCAAAAAGAAGACAATAAATATGTTTACTCAAGAGTCTGACATAAAGAGGGGGCTTAAAACAGTAAAGAAAAGTAAAATGTCCAAGTTTTGTCTGCCTGTAAGCCTCGGCTTGGTTGATGAAGGACGTGGAGATGACGTATGGGGGTGACGTTTAAGTCCAAAAACAAACAGTTCAGTGGGCGTTCCAGTTCTTGGACTTGTTCTTTACAGGCAGCTGACCTGTGGCCTCCAAGTAGTTGTGAATGAGTTGATCTTGTGTGGCTGACTGGCAGGGCCGGTATCTGCTGTACTCCATGGTGTATTCGCCTTTACCCTGCGGAAACAACCAAAAACACTCACAAAACGTGCGTCCACAGACTCCAGAGAAGGAGTGGAAAATTCAAAACTGCCTCTCTAAACTAAATCACTTGATTTTTTTCCCCCTCGTTAAAATCTTTTGACTCCCTGGTGAGTCATTCGAGTCCTCTTCACTGATAATTCGGAGCTTTCAGCAGGACTTCTGGGTCATTTTGACTCAAGAGCATAGAGGGATAAGCAAAGATCACGTAAATTCAGTAAAGTTCAAGACAAAAACAACTGGACTTTATTTGTAACAGAAGACATTTCGCTCCTCATCCGAGAAGCTTTAAAGAACAGTGAGTGTGATGTACTGCTCTTTGAACTGAGAAAGCTTCTCAGATGAGGAGCGAAACGTCTTCTGTTACAAATAAAGTCCAGTTGTTTTTGTCTTGAACTTTACTGAATTTACCACGTCCTGGATGACTGAGAATCTTCACCAGCGCAAAGATCAGGTACAACCAGTTAGTGCTCAGTGTGTAGAGCTGTCATGTCTAACTCAGGCCTGAAGACTGGTCCGGCCCGGCTCTAATTCAGGGCGGGGCGGGCCATAATAATGTGCTGGATGGGCGGGCTGGGTCGGTATCGGGCTTTTGATTGTGTCAGCGCGCGAGGCTGACGATCCAATTTTATGGCAACGTGGTGATGTTGCCATACACTTTGGATCACCAACCGCATGCGGTCATTTGAAAGAAGTTAAAAAAAGTTAAGTTAAGCTTGAGATGGACTCTTGAGAAAAGCTTTGCAGAGAGTGGTGAAGGCTGCACAGAAATCTGTTGGAATCAGTCTCCCCACCATCACAGACATCTACATCTCCAGATGCAGGAAGAGGGCCACCTGCATCATGAAGGACCCCACCCACCCAGCACACACACTTTTTGCCCCACTCCCCTCAGGAAGGAGGTTAAGGAGCATTAAGTGTAGAACCACTAGACTGAGGAACAGCTTCTACCCTGAGGCTGTTAGACTCATGAATCTCTAACCAGAATAATCACTGTGAAAAACCATATCATGTTGCTGCTGATCTGTTTAAATGTTGCTGCTGATCTGTTTCAATGTTGATGTGTTCATGCGTGCACATCTGCTCACAGACTCATGTTCATGTTTGTGCTGATGTTCAATGTTTTTATGTTATGAGTGCTTAGTGTATGTTTAGTTGATGTTTTTCTTAGTTCATATCTTAGATGTTATTACTGTTTTTCTTATACATTTTATTGTTGGATGTAACTGGGACCCTGTGTACATAATTTCGCTCCACCACATGTACCACATGAGGTGCGAATGACAATAAAGAAACTCTGACTCTGACTCTGACTACTGCAGCGATCCATCTAAAGCCCAAATGGACTCAGACGTTGCGTCAACGGACGCCAGCTGACGCGCACAGCTGACAGCCCAATTTGCTGAATGGGTTTGAAAGCAAGTGAAATCCCAAAATATCCTTGCACATATGTCAGAGCAGGGTCCGTGTCTGAATAATGCAGAATGCAGGCAGAAGCAGGGACTTAACGCGCTTTGACGGCCATGAAACAAACATCCTCACCTCCCATCCTTATTCTGCCCCCTTTTACTCAGCTGCGCATGTCCGCCAACAGTTAATAATTATAATATTATAATAACTATACCATTATAAGAACTATAATATTATAATAGCTACAATAACTATAATGGCTCTAATAACTATAATATTATAATAGCTCTAATAACTATAATATTATAACAGCTATAATAACTATAATATAATAGCTATTATAACTATAATATAATAACTATAATATTATAATTACTATAATTACTATGATATAATAACTATAATAACTATAATATTATAATAACTATAATAACGATAATATTATAATAGCTATAATATAATAACTATAATATTATAATAACTATAATAATCCGCTGACTCTTGATAATAAATAAGAATTCTTATATCTTTCTTTCTTTGAAATACGTTTTTAAATCATGTCAAACTGATTTGCTTACAAAAGCAGTGAAAGCTTAATTAAAAATGTCTGGGGTGGTGTGGGGGTTCGGACCTGTAATTACAGTTAATTTGTCGAGTCAGGTTCGGAAATAATGGCTACAGGCTGGGGCCGGGTCAGGTCGGATTTTTTAGGCCCGAATGCAACTCTAGTGTGTGTTGAGCAAAATCTGTCAAACTGGATGTGTGACAAAAACTGCGTACTTTCCACTTGGACCCTCCCGCTGAGATCCCACCTTGTGCATTGCCCGTCAGAAGAAGTTCTAACAGGGGTGTGTTAAGGTTTATGTGATTGGTCAGAACTTCCTGGGCGTGTTTGTTTATGAAAAGTGGCAGCAGCCGCTGTTCTCTTCTGCTGAGGAGCAGCTGGCCGAGGCTGTTAGAAAATATAGCCATCGTTACAGCCAAAAAGACGGTTTACTATAACATCAGCAACATCTGGTGTCTTAACGCCTTGTGAAGTGTACCCAGACCATAAGGTCAACGTGGCAGACATCTTAAATCATACAGACTAAAAACGCTTATTACCGGTAGTTGTAAATATACATCCAGTGATAATCTGAGTGTTTCATTAAAATCTAGCCAGTGGTTTGATATTGCTAGAAGCTTTCTTATTACTACTACCACACCAGACTTGATCCCAGTATCTGTAAAAACGACTCAGTTACAGCTGTTTTTGTGTTTGTTAGAGTTGATTAGTTTTGGCAGCCACCTTGAGCTGTTTTGACTCAAAAGGCAATATGTTGCTCATTCAACAAGCTCCAGCTCAAGCTGAATCTGTGGTTTTTGACACTTACTTCGGTGGTGGAGCGTAGGTCCGTAGAGTATCCAAACATGCTGTTTAGAGGAACCTGTTGGAAGAAACACGTTGGAACAGACTTTATACTTTAAAGCTAGCAAACTCAAACTTGAGATGAATAAAGGTGGACTCACATCAGCGTATAAAGTGAAATATCCCTCGTCGCTGTCCTGTCCTGTGATAATGCCGCTCCGACGGTTTACCCCAGCGACGACCGCTCCTTGGAACTCGTGAGGCGCGACGATTTCAACGGACATAATTGGCTCCAGGATAATGCCGCTGGCGTGCGCCATCACTGCAGAGCAAGAGTGACAAGCGTTAACCTGCAGCTGCCTGCACAGGATGCAAACACAGCTTTTCCTCAGCCTTTCTCCGACACCGTCAACGTAAACTGGAACGCCAGGGTTTTTGATTAAAATCATCTCGTCTTGAGAAATGGAGTCGTAGCCTTGAATTCTTGAAAATAATTCACAATCACCAGTGATACTGGCGAATGTCATGCTCAGAGTATATGTTGCAATTTAATGACTCTCAGCTACTACCACATCACATTTTAGCTCAGTATCTGTGAAACTGACTGAACTGTAGCCATTTTGGCGTTTTCTAAACTTAGTTGGGTGTGGTGTGCATCTTGAATGAGGTTGTCTCCAAAGATTTGTAGATACACAGCCAAAGGAAGTTTAATTAAAATATGTCAAATGGTTCATGAGATATTTCGCTAACAGACGCCTGACTAAATCAGGACAACTCAACAAAATTGCTCAGGGAGCCACTGTTACTGAAAGCGCTCAGGACGTCCAGCAATTGTCATAACGTACATTTAATTTATGAATTAAAACCTAGCTTCATTCTAAATTAACTCACCTGTGGGCCGGACTGAGCTCACCCCCAGGCCAAATGTGGCCCCCAGGCCACCACCTGAATGACCCTGATCTAAACAGTCTGGGCCAAAATTTTAGCCGATCTTGTGCAACCTGTTAGTGCTCTGAATATGTGTTGGGGATCAGTCTCAGAAACCACCACACCAAACTGTAGCTCAATATCTCTAAAACTGTAAGTTATAGATATTTTTGTGCTTATTTTTTAAGTTAGTTGTGGCGGCCATCTTAAAACAAGTTGACTCAAACAGTTAATCAGCTGTTTATGTGCATGTAATAAATTCTTCATGTAAAAGCATTGAAATTTGTCCAGATAATCTGGTAACAGATGAAACGTGATTGCGCTTTTTGTCCGTGGCTCACCTTGTTTCATAGCGCCTTCTCCTGCCCGGATGAACGAGATCTCGTTGGAGTCGACAATGTGATGCGCTCCGTCATTCAGAATGAACCGGACCCCTGAGATCTTGTGCCCGCTGAGGAATCCCTTCTCACAGGCTTCCCTGAAGCCCTGCAGGGTGATAGGAACAGGAATCAAAGAGCTTAAAAAGGAGAAAAAGGGACTTCAAAAATTTAGATCAGGGGTCTGCAACCTGTGACTCTGGGGCCACATGTGGCTCGTTGGTCCCGCTGCAGTGGCCCTTTCAAACTTTGCCCAAAACTAATGTAACAAAACTGAATTGTATTGATTTCTATACCTGCCATTTTCAGAAATGTAAACGATAGTACAAATACAAGGCGTAAAACATGCTGACTACATCATGTTAGTATAGGCCTGTCACAACAACAAATTTTACTGGGCGATTAATTGTCTCAGAAATTATTGTGATAAATGATAATATTGTTTGAAATTTGACAATAGTTTGCAATTGTCAAATTTAAGAAGAAATGTTGGTTAATTTGTTTTGAGTGTAGTACCATTTTCCGACTACCGGATGGCAGTATAAGACTGTTTGAAGCGAAGGATGGATAGTGAGGGAGCGAGCAGCGTGTCTCTTTAAGAAAAATGGGAAGGAGGCTCCTTGACGTGACATGGGCCGTCTCTACCTTTTTTTTCGGTTCTCAAAATGGCAGACGCTGTGTGGTTTGAGCTCTTTAGCATAGCATTTTTCACACAAAGCTTTTAATTTAAAAAAAAAATCAGTAAACAAGTTCTCAGCTCTTTTTTCAGAGAAAAACAACTTTTTACACGAAGGCACGAGTTTCAACTGTGAATTTTGGGGCTTCAACAAGACGCAAGTTAACAACTTCTTTAAGCTGCTTCCAGTCTTACGATGTGATCTTCCTCTCAAAACCACCAGAATTTATTTGTTGGAATACCTTTAAGACAAATTGCTGAGAAGAAATATGGTGAGTCAGTTAACACCAAGAATAATAAAAAAGTAAGAAAATGGAAGTAGGCCTGCATAGTTCAGTGTTTAATTTGTATAAAATTGGTAAAACTTTTTTCTTTACATTAATCTTTTTTGTCTTAGAATGTAAAAATTTCAATAACTAATCATTAGATGTTTTTAGTTTTATAATGTTCCCTCAACTGGCCAGGACCTCCTCCAACAAACTTGTAGTGGCCCATGGGCCACCAGTTGACAGTTCACAGTTCTAGCAGGTTTCGTGGCTCCAGACACATAATAAGTGAGCAAAGGGGCAAAAATGGCTCTTTTGATGTAAAGGTTGCAGACCCCTGACAGACAATAAAGAGATAAAGGACTGTTTCTACCTTTTCAACAGCTGGTACAAACTGCTTCGGCACGTTTGTTCCAACAGTACGGTCTACAAACTCCAGCTTGGTGTAGTGCTCAGGCTCTAGGGGCTCGAGGACGCCGATAACATTACCATACTGGCCAGAACCGCCGCTCTGTTTCTTATGCGTGAAGTCAAACCTGAACATAAAAGGGACAAGGATAAGACACATGCTGAATGAGAAGGATGCACTAAAGCCAGAACTTACAGGTTCACGGTCGACTCTGAGGATGACTGAGAGAAGTTAAAATTAAAGAACCCAACAATTTTCAGTCAGGTCATCTGGACAGTTTTTTTTTTTTTGTGCTGAAACGTTTCACCTTCCATCCAGAAGGCTTCATCAGTAAAGGAAACACAAAACTGATTCTTCCCCCAAACAACTTACTCCAAAGTGGAACAAACCAGTTATGTTGGTGCTAAGATTGTC